CCTGTTGGCCACTGCAGCAGAGGAGGCGGCTGAATCTGGCCCCAATTAATAAAATCTGACTGTTAAGAATCGGCGCGGTCTGGATTATTGGTCGACGTGCGACTGGGATCCCGACCGCGAGACTCGAGCTCCCTCTCCGGCGCGTCCCGAGGGGTTAACGCTCTGCTCTGTGTTGAAGGTTAAACGCCTTTATCCTGTTCCTGTGTGAAGCGCCGTTCTGCTGCCAGTTTATCGAGTTTGCAAACGCGGTGTCTGCGCGGGCGGACAAGCTGCGGCCCTGGCAAAAAGCTGCCTTCTACTGTGGGTAAGGAGGGATGCCTGGCTCCGGCTGGGGGGTGGGGGAGGAGGGGCTGGCAGAGGGTTGAACGGACGGGTTAATGGACTTTGACATGGTGGGTTTGGTGTCCAGCTGCTGGGCGACGTTGGTGGCCTGTGACATATGGGCTGACCTGGTCTCTCTTGGCCTTGAACTCTCGGGGTACGATTACAGTGCCCCTGAAAGCCAGCCTCCCAGCCCTGGCAGAGAGATGCGCTAGCTTTGCTGAAACTCGCAGTGTGGACCTGAGCTGGAGCCTAGGGGGCCAGGCAGGCTTGGACTTGGGTGGTTAGCCCGGGCCACTGTCCATGCTGCAGCATCCACGCTGGTATTCTTAGCGCACTAGCTTGAGCCTGTCGACCTGCCTTGGGGTGCTGCAGGGCTGCTGGCTGGGAGATGCTTAGGTAAGCGCCTCCCAGGCAGAGCCTGTCTCTGCTACCCCACCCCCTCCTGCACCCCAGCTCCCTCCCCAAGTCACGATCCAAACCCTCTGCACTGGGTTTTAAAAAAAGGCCCCCCCCGGCCACAGCCTGCCTCTGGCACCACTGCGCCTCCTGCTCCCCAATTCCCTCCCCCAGGCCACCTTCCAAACCCTCTGCACCCCCCCCTTCCTCCCCTGCCCCAGGTCACAACTCCCTCCCAGCCCCTGCACCCTTCCTACACCCCTCCCCCACACCAGAATCCTCTCCTGCACCCCCACTCCCTCCCTGACCCTCAATCCCCTGACCCAGGTCACAACCCCCTCCTCCACCAAAACTCCCTCTCAGACCTCACACTATCTCCTGCACCCCAGTCCCTTACCCCGTGCGCCCCTCTGCACCCAACATCCATCCTAGACCCCACACCCCCTCCACAGAAAACTGCAGCCCTTGACCACTTACCAAAATCTTGGAGTGTCCCCCCCAACCAAAAATCATTGCTCACCCCTGCCCTAGCCTCTGCTCGTCAGAGGCTGGGAATGGAGGACAGAGGTTTCATCACTTGATTCCCTTTTCATTCCCTCTGGGGGCACCTAGTATTGGCTGCTGTCGGTAGACAGGATACTGGGCCAGATGGACCTTTGGTCAGACCCAGTCTGGCCGTTCTTATGTCTCCTGCATTGGGTAGGGGTCTACGGAAATTGTGGAGGAATCCCTCAATTTTTGTCGGTAGGTCATGGCCTCAATAGCAAATTCTGTGGCTGTGCTTCTTCACAGGGGCCCAAACCCAAGAGGAGGTCTCAAGCCTGTTAGGGGGCTATGGTATGGCTAAAACACATTTC